GAGTTCTTTTGGTAAAAACAGGAGTTGAAGTTGAGGCATAAACACTTACAGGCAGATGGTGAACAAGGGAAAAGGCACCAGGCACCAAAAATTGGGGTCCTGAAGGAAGCGGCCAAGGCTGGAGCATGGAGCATGTGTGCAGGGCGTAGAGCGGGAACACAGGGTTAGAGGTAGGTAGAGAAGATCAATTCCAGAAGGGCTACCGTGTCATTCTCTGCTGACCCAGGACAGCCCCAGAGAGATGGTAAGCCAAGAAGCTGGATGATCTTGTTTGCATTTTCAATGTCCCTGGGAACAAGGTGGTGGATGGATTAGGTGGCGGCAGGGGTAGGGGAAGGAGGCTACAGCCGTGGTGTGCGCAAGAGATGGGGATGAACTCATACCAGCAGGTAACGTTTATCAGGCCCCACTACCTGAACAGGCCCTACACAAAGCACCATATATTGACCATGCCAGTTATATTGTCAACAGCCCTAGGAAGTAGGTACTATTATTACTCCTATTTCACAGAAAGGAAACTGAGTCTCAGGGAAGTGAAATAGCTTACCCAAGGTCACATAGTGAGTCAATGGTATCTATCGCAGGCCTCAAACCCAGGTCCATTGATTCTGGAACCCCACTCCTAGCCACGGCACCATGGCACCACCCTATCTCCCCGTGGAGCGGCCCCCAGGGGAGCCGCTCTGGACCTGAGGGGGGCTGGAAAGAGGGTAGAGGGGCCATGACCTGGACTTTGATCACATGTGGCACTTCAGATCAAGGATTAACCCTCAGGTGGCCAGCTTGGTACCCAGGTAAGTGATGCTGCCATCAACCTGGATGAGGAGTCTGGGAGAAGACATGGGTTTGGGGGAAATGGGTTTGTGACATCTGGCTGGCCATCCAGGAAGTATCCATGAGTTGGCGCTGAGGGGAAGGCCCTGGCGGTCTGGGACTTGGTGGTGAGGAGGGGGGATGGTGGAGTGACTGCAGCCCCACTGTTCTTCAAGCTGGTCCAGGGGCATGTGCTGTCCCTGGCCCCTATATCCAAAGGAAGGAGGGAAACAGAGTGCACCTGCCAAACCTGGGCTCTCACTTACTGTTCAACCTTTTCACTGGTGCCCCCAGCACAAAGTAGTTTGCCCCGTGGATTGCAACCATTCCTGAGTCAGGAGTGAGAAAGGCTCAGGGCCGGCCCATCTGGGTCCTAATCCTGATCATACTGCAGGGTGATCCTGGGCAAATCCCACTGTTCTCCCAGGGCATCAACACAAAAAGGGGTAAGGCTCCAGGGGCAAGAAGGACCCGTTTATTTCCAAAAGCCCATGATTCTTGAGCCGCCACTAGCTGGAGCCTCAGGCAGGGGCATTTCTCCAAGTAGGCTAGCAACGGCCCCTCAGGGTAGCTCCCCTCCCACTCCACCTTCCTAGCTGAAGACCCCGGTGCTGAAGGCACCCTAGAGCCTCCAAGCACGCACTTCAGGGTAGGAGTTCTCTGGATTCTCTCGCACAGGGAAGTTTGGAGAAGCCAAGCAGGCTGGGGCTCCCCCATGAGGCAGTGTGAGGCCCTGAGGCCCATGCACACTTCTTTAAACCAGTGGCTGTTTAAGATAGGGATAAGACAGGGCCTGCTTCCCAGAGATCAGCAGACAGCCCTGTTGCCTCCTGTACCCTGCCAGCCCCTTAGCAAGGGGAGTGGCCAGACCGGCTCAGTTTCTTGCAGGCATATTTGTAAATAAGCAAAATTCCCCTGAGAAGAATCTCTATTCTCCAAGGAGGGCTGGGTGTTGGGGCCACGAGAGAAGGGGTTTCTCCACCGGGGAATGAAGGTTTTTTTTTTTTTTTCATTCAGCAATTATGAAAATATAAACTGAGCCAATGCTCCCAACCCAGCTCACCCCACTCACCAGCTTGGGTGTGCAGACTGTGGTTGGGGGCTCAAGGACTGGAAAGGGGTCAAACCTCAAACCTTGACTGGAGCATCTCCAGTCTGAGTGAGGTGGGGAGGAACATACGGAGCCTCTTCTAAAAGGACTCTGATACAGCTCAAACTGGGGGCGACAAAAAAGGCTGAAAGATAGCAGGGGCAGCTCCTTGGGTGTATAGGGGGAGGATGGGAAACTGACCAAATGGAGGGACAGGAATCTCAGGCCTTTGACCCCCCCTGATATGGTACATCACTGAGCACCCAGTCTGTGCCAGGCACTGTACTAGGCACTGTGGCAACACACATGCCTAAGACATGATCCACATGCTCAAAAGGGGTTTAGTTAGTAAGGGAGAGATCAACATTTGAAACCAAGGGCTCTCACCTACAACCTAGCAGTTTCCTGGGGGAGGGGGGCAGCCCAGCGTGGGCATGAAGCTTCACAAAAGGGGGGCTCATACTTGCTCTCTCACAGAGGACTAATCTATGTAAAGGTGGATAATCTATGTAAAGCACTTAGTATAGTACCTGGTATTAAGTTACAACTCAATAACTGGTAGCTATTATTAGCCATCATTACAAGAAGCCACAGAATAAACATGGCACATCTTCCTGGAGTGCCAATTTTACCGATTAGGGAGGAAGAACATTCCTTTTATATTAAAACGAACACAGGCATAAGCTGGAGTACAGTGCAAAACTCACTTGGATTTTTGACATCAACGATTTGGGGCCCGCATTGTCCTGTCCCTTCACCCTACTTGTTTGCCCCCTCCCCCATCCCGATAGACCCAGGAACTAGAGAAGCCCCTGCACTTGGAGTCAGGAAAACCGGATTCCAACTTGCTCTGCAGATTACTATGTTGTGATCTTAGGCTCTGAATTCCTGGGCCCTGTTTCCTCATTGATAAAATGGGGTTACGTACACCTATATCTAGGGGAGCCTGGCTGGCTCAGGCTCAGTCGGTGTAGCCTGTGACTCCTGACCTTGGGGTCATGAGTTCAAGCCCCAGGTAGGGCCTAGAGCTCACTTCAAAAACAAAAACAAACAAAAAAAGTACACCTATATCCACAATTGTGATAACAAGATAATATATGTGAATGTGTCTGGCACAGCACCTGGTCAATAATAGGTGCTCAATAAATGTTAGGTTATCAGGGGACTAAGGAGACAGGGCTAAGGGGGCATGGTAGGTGGAACCGAAGCTACTACATTATTGCTGTTAAGCCTGCCAGGTCTTTATGGGGGAGGGAGTGGGGAACAGAGTCCTCCCAGCAGTGATTCCAGATGGCCACTCTTCACAGTGGTCTGGGATGGAAAGGCCATGGTTTGTGAGCTCGGCTTTGCCCTTAAATTGTATCCTAATTCCCCTTCAGCTCATTTAGCCACCGTTTTTATCTATACCTTAGTTTGTGAGTTTTCTAAGATCTGGGTCCATTGACAACCACCCCAACCCCAATATTACATCAATATTCTCGAAGTGCTTGGCTCAGGACACATTATATACTCAGGCTGCCATCGGTGCTTCATGTATGTTCTTATGAGTTTTCCAGGAGTATAGTTCTATAGCCTTGGCAGTCTGTAAGCTGCTCAAAGAACAGGGATCCTGCCTTTTGAAAATAACCCAAATACTGTAATATTGAACCATCCTACCAATCTATCTTTGATGGTCTTGCAGGAAAATGTGGAAAAAAATGATTTTGACTGAGAAAGTTTAGGGCCATAGCCTAAGTATTCTTAGTTGCCTTCTAACAACCCATTACGATTCTGAGGAGCGCCTGGGTGGCTCAGTCGTTGAGCCTCTGCCTTTGGCTCTGGTCATGATCCCAGGGTCCTGGGATCCAGCCCCACAGAGGCAGGCTCCCTGCTCAGCAGGAAGCCTGCTTCTCCCTCCCCCACTCCCCCTGCTTGTGTTCCCTCTCTCCTGTGTCTCTCTGTGTCAAATGAATAAATAAAATCTTAAAAAAAAAAAAAACCCATTGCGAATCTGTCCTCTGAGAATGTTATCTAAATCTTTTGGAACTTATTTAAGGGACACATTAGTATAATTACTTTTTATATTTTAAAATAGCAATATGGAGGAAACCGTAAGTATAACAGTTCTGTCTGTCTAGAATTTTCGTCTAGGAAGGGAGGGTTGAAATATTATAGTAATGGTTAAGCTTTTTGGAGGGAACTGTATGTCAGGCACGGTGCTGTTTCCTTCAATCCTCCCAATTGCCTGATGAGACACCAATGGTATTATCACCCCTATTTTACCGATGAGAAAATTAAGGTGAAAAGAAGTTTATCAGCTTACCTACCTTTATAAGATTAGTAAGTGGCAGCAACAACCATGGCTCCCACTCCTAACTACCTCACCATCCTACCTCTTGCCATGTATACTAAGCCTCATGGAGCTTTGAGCCCCTCTAGATGGTTTTAAAGCCAAACCATAGAGGCCACTAATGCTTATCTTTCTGATCTTTCTCTGGACCTCCTTCACCAACCCCATGACCCATCCCTGAGGGGTCATGACCTTCCAAGCTTTGCATGTAATTTCCTAATACAATACACTCTAGATATGCTCTCTCTCTACATCTTTTATAGCCTTGCTTACAAGCTGCCTTGGAGTTGCTTTTTAGCTATTTACTATGTATATGTTTTGTCTCTCCAACTAGGTTGTAAACACCTAGAGGACAGGGACGGTATCTTGCTCTTTCTTACCCCTCCCAGTGCGTAGGACCAGGCTGGAGACGCCAAGGAGGCTCATTAAATGTTGTTGACAGTCTCCGGACCATCCTTCGCCCCACCTCGGCCACTCCCCTTTTCCTCGGTGCCCATTGCACTTCCTCCTCCCGGGTCCCCACCCAGTCCCGCTCCCCTAACTTTTACCCCCTCCGGCCCCGCCCCTCCCTCGCGAAGTCCGCCGTTCCCCCCCGGTCCCCGGCAGCATCTCCAGCGTCCCCTAGCGACGAGGCAAGAGCTCCTAGCAACCGCATCTCGGTTCCTTGACGACGGCGGCACGCAGGCCACGTCAGCGCGCCGTGGCCCCGCCCCCGCGCCGGCTGGCCCCGCCTCCCCGTGCCCTGTTCGCCGCCGCCGCCACCGCCAGCACCGCCACCGCCGCCGCCGCCGCCCGAGACTCGCGCAGAGCAGTTATGGCGGATCCCGCAGCGCCCGCAGCTCCGGCTCCCGCCCAGGCCCCGGACGCGGCCCCGACCCCGGACGCGGCCCCCGCCCCGGCGCCCGCCCCGGACTCGGCCTCCGGGCCGTCCTCGGACTCCGGCCCCGAAGCCGGCTCGCAGCGGCTGCTGTTCTCTCACGACCTGGTGTCGGGCCGTTACCGCGGCTCGGTGCACTTCGGGCTGGTGCGCCTCATCCACGGCGAGGACTCGGACTCGGAGGGCGAGGAGGAGGGCCGCGGGAGCTCGGGCTGCTCCGAGGCGGGGGGCGCGGGCCACGAGGAGGGCCGGGCCAGCCCGCTGCGCCGCGGCTACGTGCGCGTCCAGTGGTACCCGGAGGGAGTCAAGCAGCACGTGAAGGAGACCAAGGTGCGGCGGGCGGGCCGGGGCCGGGGCCGGGGCCGGGGCGGGGACCGACGCAGGGACGGAGTTGCTGCAGGAGCCCTAGGCCGGGGAGGGGAGGTGCGCGAGGCGCTGGCCGGAATGGTGCAACTGCAGTGGGCCGAGGCGAGAGGACGAGCCTCCGCGGAGGGGACGCTCCGGTGCAAAGTCATTGCACCAGCCCCGGGCCACCGGGCCCCGGGCTTTCCCACGCGAAGGGACTTCCAAGCCTTGCGGTGCTGTGGTGTCGGCCTCAAGATTCTGTACGTGGACCCACTACAGTGGGGAACTCCTCAGGCTCTGAGGCACGCTCGGCATTACACCAGTGCGGCGTTTTGCTGACCCCCGAGGAGCTACATACTGCATTGTGCATCCAGAGAGGAAGGCCGTGCCGGGTCCGTGCGGGGAAGGGTTGTGGGCGTTCCAAAACAAAGATAGAGGTGAAAATCTCGTATGGCATAAAAACCCAAGAAGTTCTCTAGATGACAGAATGCGTTATAATGGGTAAAGAAACCCAACCCCCTCCCCCCGCCTTTTTTTTTTTTTTTTTAACCTTGTTGCCTTGTTTTAATTGCTGCGGGGAACTTTGTGAGTAAAATCATTAACCATCAGAGCCGTGATATTAATAGTACGGGGTGGGGGGGCATGTGACAGCTGCGGCTGGGATTGATGACTCCCAAGTGCAGCTGGACTTCTTGAAAAAAAAAATGCTGTGGAACCATGGATGGACAAGAGCCACCCATTTGGAAACCCAAGATTTTTTCCTGACCTGAGGCTGTCAGGCAAACATCAAACTCCCTAACGCTGTTGGGGTGAGGCTGGTGAATATTGCAGTTTTACAGACAAAGGGGTTTATCATCTTAAACCTGAAACCTTGAACCAAGGTTGGTTTGGTGGCTTCTTCTGTCTTGTTTTCCTGAGTGTGAATCCCTATGAGTGATTCACACACACACACACACACACACACACACACCCCTGTATCTTTCACACCTTCTTCGTCTCCTCCTCCTCCTCCTCTTCAAGAAAACATTTCTAAGCAGGAATCGGGCCTGGGCTGTTGACAGGTTTGATTTCAGGGGAGGGCGCTTGAGAAGTTAATCTGGGTTTCTCACACATTTGGAGAAAAGGCCACAGAGGGTTAGGGCTTGCCACGCTACAAAGGGGGTTTGTGATAACAGCTCTTGGCAGGGGAAAAGTCCCCACTCCCAGGAAGAGCCTGTGATCCACTTCCTAGTGGCACGAGTGACTTGATACCAGCAGGGTCTTTCTCCTTGCCAGTGTGCACACATCCACAGACACAGAAATCCGCGTACGGGACCCCTGGCTTCCCCTCAGAGAAATGCAAATCAGGCATTAGCTGCTCTGACTCGGGGAGAAATTTTAAGTTCGTGTGCAAAAGTATGTGGAAAATTGTACTTTTTATAGCGGAATGCTTGTTAAAAATTACCACTGGTGGTGTTACGTCGGAAAGAGAAGATTTTTGCTCTTTATACAGTGTTTCTACATTGTCTTAACTAACGAATGGCTGCTGATGTCTTCCTGTGGGTTTTTGAAAAATGTTTTTCCCTGACCATCTTCTCTAGAGGTTGGTGACTCTTGGAATGCAACTCATTTCACTGTGTCATGGCCTCCTGCCCTGGGACTCGGCGGGCAGGCCAAGCTCCACTACCGGGAGCTGCCATATTTATCAGTTGTTGTTTCTGTTCATCTTGACTTTGGTGGTTAACTTTATTTACAGTTATGTTCTGTCTGCCTCCTCCCGCCGTGTGTTATTAAACCAAGTTTGACTTAAAATACCTATCTAGGAATTAAGTAGAAAGCAATTTTAAGGCACCAGCTTGGATACATTTTGAAGCTGCCCTCTTGTGATTTGCTTTGAATTTGTTGAAATCCATTGTGGCTCCAGCGGTGGTGTTTTCTTTGCCCCTGGAGTGTCTGAGCTTCTGAGCTTAGCAAAAGCTAAAGGGCATAGGAACTCTAGGAAGCAGTGGCGTGTAGTGTCCATTTGTGGATGGCAAGACCTGGTTCTTTTAGAAATTAAGAGTAGGTTTGTTTGGGGGCTGGGGGGGGTGTATACCTGATAGGTAGCTGTAGGTTACCATGAACCCTAGGCACAGATGACTCCAACTAGGGGGCTGGGTGGGACCTTGCAGTCTAGGAAGTGGTAGGAAGATTTTTTTTCTTCTCACCTCTCACCCCTTATAAATCCGTGGAGGTGACAGTGTGCTGTAAAGGAGAGACCATTAGACCAAGGCTGAGCATTTAGGTTCTGATTCCTACTCCATCACTAATTTGGTTATGAGATTTGAGAACCCAGTTACTGATAGAATAATGTGGTGACAGTATTGAGAAACATACTTCTTTTTAAAGCTGCCACCTATTGGAATTTTTTTAATAGTACCCTCTTAATGTGGAGTGTTTAGTAGGCTGTGGAGTATTTTTGTAGTTTTCAGGTTAATTTGTTGGGCAATGAGTAAAGGCTTAATACTAGTCTCTTAGGTTTTAATGAACAAATTCATAAAGAGAGATGAAGAGGCTGGCCAACAAGGTCTACCCGCTCCTGGCCACTTCTGTGAAAACCATCAACAGAAATAAAATAAGCAGGGGCGCCTGGGTGGCTCAGTAGGTTAAGCATCTGCCTTCAGCTCAGGTCATGATCCAGGATCCTGGGATCGAGCCTCGAATCTGGCTCTCTGCTTAGTGGGGAACCTGCTTCTCCCTCTGCCGCTCCCCCTGCTTGTGCTGTCTCCATGTCTCTCTCTGTCAAATAAATAAATAAAATCTTAAAAAAAAAAATAAAGTAAATAGCTCTTCCTTGAAATTGCAGGATTTATGGGCCAGTTCCTGAGGCTTCCAGCAGCCAAAGCCAAGCTTCTTTAGGACTTAAAACAAGCACGTACCTTGTGCTGCTTCTTTTCCTCAACCACCTGTCCCCTTCATCTGACTTACCCACTTGTAACTTTTCCCATTTGCCCAGGGATCTTCTATGTGACTTACCCCTTCCCCATCAGTGGCCATCCTTGAGTAACATTTTGGAATAAAGCCAAATGCCTCCAGTCTCTGCCTTCTTGAGCACTGGCTAGACATGGTGGGTCCTTCCGGCCTCCACCTGTCATGGTTGGACAGAATGGCCCCTGTTAGGAAGAGAACAGACTGCTGTCTGTCAGTCCAAGTTTGGGGGCTTCCTGTTTATGCTTTCGTTTTCCCATCTCTTGTGTGCTGTCTTTTGTTTAAAGGTGCTACAACATCCAGAGTCTCTCCTGATTTGAGATTTAATGTCTTTAAGTTAAAGCTGTGTCTGTGATCACTCTGCTTTTCTAAGGCTCTGTGTTTGTGTGTAGCATCCCTCATGACAAGTCCCTTAGGAATTGGCTTTTCGGTTTATTTTTGGCTTCTACTCAGGCCAACATTTCCCTGGGGAAAACTATTTAGATGTAGCATCATAGCATGTGAAGGTTGCTTGCTTCACTTGTCCAGGTGCTGGACTCATTAAAAGCAATTGTTCTTAGTGATGTAATAGGAAGAAGTTATGTAAGGTTAACCAAGATGCAGGACTGAGTGCATCTAATTGCACTTTATTCAGATAGGATCACGGCACTTGCAGACTGGCACAGCTGTTCTATGACTTTATTCTTTGTCCTTTGGTTCCCCCCCCTTCTAGCTCCTGGGACTCAGTGCCTTGATTATGTCTCTGTCTGACTTGCCGCTTCACTCAAGGGCACTTTCACCAGATGAGGGATGTGTGTTTGTGTCCTGTGATTGGAAGTCAAAACCCCTGGGTGCTCTTCCCAGCCGTCACCTACTCTGAATGACCTTGGCCTAGTCACTGCCTCATTTTTCTCACTGCAATAAAAGACAGGATCTGTCTTTCTAGCCCCTGAAACGAGCCTGAACCAGAAGCGTAGCTGGGTGGTATGGCCACTTGGCTGTTAGCAGCCACCATCCTGATGTCCATCAGACAGAGTCAGCCCCACCCCGTCAGGAGATCACTTCTGTGCATCAGAGAGAGCCACGCCAGCCCCACC